GAGAGAGAGAGAGAGAGAGAGAGAGAGAGAGAGAGAGAGATTGAAGGAGGGAAAAAGGGAAGGAGGATAGTCTCTAAATCATAATCTCTTTGCCTGTGACTCCTAAATTCTGGGGTTGCAGGCATGGACCTCTGATTAATTCTATACATCTTTTGAAGGTTGCTTGAAAGAGGTGTGAACATTTGCTGAACTGACTGTCCCCAGTTATTACAGCTGTTGGTCATTGCGGCAAGTACTGTGTACAAAATGCTGCATTAAGCTAACTGTTCTTCATTTGTAATCATTATCAATACTATTAATAATAGTAATTATTTTGAAACAATTTTGTGATTATGTAGCTAATGTCAAATAGTTATTATGTGGTTAACATATAATAGACAATAAATGTTGGTACTTGTGTTCCTGAGAAGAAAATGTATTTCCTAACTTGGCTTTTTAAACTAATTAAACTCAGTAATTACAAATCAGACCAAAACATCACCCTCGGTACATATGAACCAGGTGCATCTGCCAACCAAAATCCCTTCCCAGACACAGACATTGAAAATTGTAGGTGTCCCGATAAGGGGGTGGAGTGGGGAGAACAGGTCATGTGAAGCAGCAACAAAGCATTTACCCTCTCTAGCTTCTACGAGAAAGCTGCAAAAGGAACAAGAATCCTCCCTCTACTTGTTTTTCTCAACCTCCAATGGGAGAAGCCACCTGCTGTCATAAGGGATCCACCTATTCAAATAAAACAGTAGAGGCATGTCCCCAATTAGCCAACTCATTGCTATCCCCCATCTCAAAATAAAGTGGAACATAGAGAAACTATAAGAAGAAGATGAAATAATGTATACATAACCCTTTGCTTGGCTTCTGTTTAAGCTATCTTTACATACACAAATTACAAAGTATTATGGAAGGCTTTTCCCTGACTGAAAACTTTTGTGCATTTTCATGACCATCATAGTGCTAATATATCTGTTTGCTTAGGACCTCTGGAAACAAAGTGACAGAAATAAAGGCCATGTAATCTGGTTCCAGTTTTCAGCTGCTGGCTCTCAGCTGTGTAAATGATAAGCTATTGCTGAACTCTGTTGATCTGAACAAAATTTGAATGTCCCTGGTGCATTCTAAATATGAGATTTGTTGGGGAATTTTCCATTAAAATGTATTTATCATAAATTAATATTATCTGCACTCTGAATGAAGTTAGTGGGAAGCTGCCTTTTTTATGAATTTGTGCTAAACTAGACTGCTGTGGTCCAAAGCCCGTAACCTAGTGACACTGTCACTGTAACTTGCTGACTGGACCAGTTATGCTTTTCCACTTATAGACAGCATATGACATGTTACGAGGCATGTTGTATCCTTGTTTCCCAGAGAAGTCATTGCCACCACTTATTTTTATTACTGGATCTTCTCATACAATTTAGCTGCAAGACACACAGTCTTTATCCTTGGTAAATCCTGAATTATTTTTGAGTTTTGTTTGTAACCATCATCTGAGAATCTCTAAATTAACAGCATCTTGGCAACAAAGTTGAGACTTCAGTTCATTTTCACAACTCTCTCATTTATCCGCCTGGGTGTGGCCTCCAAGCCTCAGGTCAGCAACTCCTTCCCATGTCCCCTTTCTTCAGTTTGTATTTTTAAGTGTGGACACTGAACCCTGAGCCTTGAGTGTATGAGGTAAATATGACAGCATTGGGCAGTACCAGCAATACTTTTTAATTTAGTTTTTTTTTTTTAATTGAGTCAGAGGCTTAATTGCTAAAATTGCTCTAGTTAGCCTTGCATTTACTCAGATAGGCCTCAAACTTACCATCCTTCTGTATCATCCTTCATGCAAGCTTGGGTTTCTGTTATCTATATACTATGCCATACATTTACAGTTTATAGGTATAAGCATTTTCTTACCATTTTCCTTCCCTACTAAAGTTACTCACTGAAACATACAGTACAAAATGCACAACGTAAAACATGGCTCTTTTTATTTAAGAAGTTTAGAAAATTGGGGGAGATGCCATGCTGGAAGCACCTTTAATTCAGAGAGAGAAAATAATACCCTATATGCAAGACTCTGAAAACCTTTTATAAGGATTCAAAGTGGTCTTCTTGATGGAATGCATATGCCTGAGTCACCACACTTAATAAACTATGCCTGTAGTTTTTCAGAACACAGTATTCCAACAAATAATTTCTCTTACTTCAGTTTTTAAACACCAAAAAGGGCTCAGCAGACACATCAGAAGCAAATTGTGCTCGCGGGGTGTTATTAGATGGAAAAAAGGGGGCTCCCATCACTTCTGCTAATATTATCACAGAAATACTTAATCCCCAGGCTGTGAAGCTAATTGTGGGGGAAGGCTTGTTATTAGTGAAAAGAACAAAACATATGCTCTGAGACTGGAAGATATGAAGGGAACTAAGTAAGGTCATGAATTCTATTTGACTAAATTACTGCTGAACCAGATCGCAGATGCTGTGCAGGGGCCAGGTGGAAGTCAGCACGCTATCTGCCTTTTCCATCTGTACAGTCCTGGCCATTTAAAGACCTATGCTTGAATATTGTTAAATAGTATCACCTTAGTCATCTTGGCTTCTATGATATTTCTAGTATTTTAGCCTATTTCCTGCTCCTGGGTAGAATAATTTATGCATAGAAAATCAAACCAATTCCTCTAAAACTTGGAAGCCTACCCTCAGAAACAACATCTCTGGGGGCCTCTTTCCAGGGCGGCGAGTAGCAGCATGTCAACCAGCCACCATGGTTCCCACCCAAAGCCCTCTGCAGCCAGTGGTGGTCGAAGGAGGCTGGACTGAGCAGACTCAGGAGGAAATGCAGCTCATGGAACTTATAAGACAGACAGAGGTATGTTCTTTGGGATCCCAGGCATTAAAGGCATTGCCCCTTTTTAGCAGCACTTAAAAGTATCATGTTGAATTTTTAAATTCTGCTATTAATATGTTCTTAGCAACTAGGCAGTTATGACCACCATAAGCATATGCCAAGCATTGAGTTGGCATTTGGAGAGTAGCTATCCTGGAGACAGCCAGCTCACATGAACGTCTGTTTTGTTTGAATGGAGACCAGAAATTATGACCTTAGCAAAGACGAGAAAAAGGCCCAGTGGATATGTACAAAGGTAATTACACTAAGTGTAGTCAAGTTGAACCGTATGGCTTCATCACTCACCATTCCTGAGGGTACTACTCAATATGTAAAAAGAGCAAGGAGCACGATGCTGTTCACAATGGAGACATTCAAGAATAAGAAGATGAAAAAGTGGTTTCAGCCAATTGGTTAATCAGTCAAGATTGCCAGACATAAAACAGTTGAAAAGATAAAGGTCAGCTGTGGAGACGGGACTCTGTGGGGATAGAGACTAGGGGAACCTGCACGCTTTATGAAATTTTTCATCAAACTATTTGTCACTATTTTAACGGGGCTTCTCGAATTTGTGATGTGTGTCCATTGCAAATTTTAAATGTGTGTCTAAATCAAGGTGACTGGAATGAAGAAGTTGACACTGCTAGAAACTTGACTCCTTGCCAAGTTAAAGAAAGACAAGTCCCTAGTTAGGGAGTGAGTAAGCAGGCACTGAGCTAGGATGCTTGAGGGAGGATGAGGAGGTGCCAGGCAAGGACTTGGCAGAGCAGAAGGGTGGAAGCTGCATCCCAGAAACTAGTGAGCTAGGACTTGCTACACACAGTCCCCTAAGCATCACTTAGCTAGAGGAAACGAAGATGTGTTTCTAAATCAAAAACCCACTTGTTCGTTGCAAAGACATCTCCTGTAGGAGAAGCACCACACACATGTCCAGAGACATACTGCACTTCATTTCTCAACATTGCAAATGAGTTAGTTAACTGCTTTGTCAAAGTGAGGCTGTCTGTGTCATTGCTTTGTGGAAGCAAGGGGAATTCACCCAAGTCTGTGGCAGGAGAGGTCTGGGCATGCCACAGTCACTTACAAAATCATTTTGGCATACATTGTGATTACAAGGCATTTCTGGTTTCCATCGAATTCCCTTTGCACACCAAATCATTCTCCACGCGCAGCACTCTCTGGGCTCTACTTGACAGGCACAACTTTCGGAAGGCCAAGAACTGCAGTCCAGACGCTCTCTGATTGCAACTCCATGTAAAGTAACCCAGCAGCAGCAAGGCCTGTACCAGGCTCCCCAAGTGAAACGAGTGTGGGCTTACCAGAATGGAGGCAGACCTGACGATGGCACTTATGCCTGGGCCAGCACCATTTCAGAGGTAAATGTAATGTGAATGCCCAGTAAGCCTTGAGTCAGACCCCAAATTTGACATCTCTGGATTGGTACATCGGGCAGGTTAATAAACTTTACTGAACCCCATTTCTCATTTGGTCAGTGGGAATAATACTTCCCTTACAAGGCTGGTCAGAATTTTGAATGAGCTCACATGTGTGAACATGAGAAGTCTAGTGCTATCTGGTGTGTGTGTGTGTGTGTGTGTGTGTGTGTGTGTGTGTGTGCATTCAAATATGACAAAAGGCCATCAGAGAATGGTGCCAAAAGCACATACTCTGGACCAGACTACACTTTAAAACCACTTAAGAGTGAGCTTGGTGGCACAAGCTTCTAATCCTAGAACTTGAGAGGTGGAGGCAGGAGGGTGAGGAACTAAAGATCATCTTTAGCTACAATAATGAACTGAGGACAACCAGGGCTAAGTGGGATAGTTATAATAATAATTTACAATGCTTTTCTCATTCATTTTAAATCTAGCTCACAAAAAAGTCATTTCTACCACCTGTCATAAGTTATTCACTAGATATGTTCTCATGGCAAGGCAACCATGGTTCTTGTACAAAGTCTGTCATAGTCTTGCTACCCACCATCCTGGCCCAACAGAATGCCCATTCCCTGAGATAAAGCACCAGCTTGAAGAGACAAGCAGCTGTTCCTGCATTGTAATTTGAGGGATATTAATCTATAGTTTGACGTTTTTTGTATTAGTTTTTAAGTGGTAAGCTGAGGCAAGCGGCAAGTGGCTTTACTAGACACTCCTAAATTCTTTCCCATTTGCAATGGTAGTGCTGTGTTTCACCTGTTTTCTTTTGCGAAATGTTTGCATAGATTTTTCTGGGAGGAGAGAGATTCCCAGAAAGAATGTTGGGGGCAGAGGTGGAGAGGTAAGAAGGTGCAATAGAAAGGCCTAAGGAAGTTCACAAAGCTGATGAAGGTTCTGGAATAGCAGAGGCATCTCAGCTGAGCCGGCCTCCAGGGAAGCGGCAGTCTCAAAGCCTCTCTTCACTGATAGAGCCTTGAGTGCAGCCTTGTCTCAGAAGCTGATGGCTGAGCTGTTGCACTTGAGAAATGAGGCAAAAATGTACAACATCCACAATGAGCACTAAAAGGAAAATGCTTTGTACACCTGGAGGCAAACAGGAAAACGGTCACTTAAAGGAAAAAAAAAAAAAAGAGGGAAAGCCAGCTTCCTAGGAGAGACACAGCAGTGTGGTTGAAATGTTCCTCTTCACATCGGTCTCTTCAGAGCCAGGCGTTGGTGGTGCACGCCTTTAATCCCAGTACTCGGGAGGCAGAGGAAAGCAGATATCTGTGAATTTCAGGCCAGCCTGGTCTCCAGAATGAGTGCCAGGATAGGCTCCAAAGCTACACAGAGAAACCCTGTCTCGAAAAACAAACAAACAAAAACAGCAACAACAACAATAATAACAACAACAACAACAAAAATCGGTCTCTTCAGAAACCAGAGTCAAATGTTGATGCTGCTTTGGAGTGAGCATGTAGCCTTGGCAACTACAGGCAATAAGTAGTAAAAGAATATACAGCAATTAACCAATAGACATAGAAAGGAGTATGGATTACAGGAAAATGGCTTATCAGACCGTATAAGGAAATGCACAAGGAACTCTCCAAAGAGAGTTTTGATTTGTGTGGCTTCACAGTGTCAGGTACAAAAGGCACTCCATATCTATCTATGGTCCCATGACCATATAATTTTCATGAACTTTGTATGTGGAAGCTGCTATGCTGGAAGCTGTGAAGCATCATTTTAATTGATGTATGTGAGTAGAATTTTATAAGCTTTGGAAGCACTGGGTAATTGACAGGTAGCATCAATAGCAGACAACACGTGCTACATGATCTCATTAAATTATGATTCCAAGGTGACAGAGACTCCTTACACTCAAAGACAACTTGCCTAATGTAGATTATTATATTACAGAACAAGGTGATCTGTTTATGTAAAAACAATTTAATGACATTCTTGACTATATTGACTATATTTGGCAGGTTTCTTTAATATAAATTATATACTGTTCTTTGTTACTATCTTTAATTTTTTAAGTTAGCATAAAAAGTATTGGTTTGGTTCCTTCAGGGAGGTTTTTGGGTTGTTGTTGTTGGTAGTGGTGGTGGTGGTTCTTTGTTTGTTTGGTTGGTTTTTGGTTTTTTTGTTTTGTTTTGTTTTGTTTTGTTTGTTTTCTTTTTTTGAGACAGGGTTTCTTTGTGTAGCCCTGGGTGTTTTGGGGCTCACTCTGTAGACCAGGCTGGCCTCAAACCTACAGAGACCCTCCTCTGCCTCCTGAGTGCTTCGACCAAAGGTGTGTGCCACCACTGCCTGGCCTTCAGGGAGTTTTTATAATATGTGTCATACTTTGTTCTCAGTCTTTCTCCCATCCACTATCCTCTCCCTCACCAGGTCACCTCTCTACCCCCTACCCACTCCATCACCCCCCTACCCCAGTCCCCCTGGTCCCCATTCTTCCCAGTAAGTGCTCTGATTTCTTTTCCTTTTATGTGTAAGTCTTTGCTCTCTCTATCTTCTATGCCCCTTAAATTCCATTCCTTCCCTCTCCTTACCCCCTTTCTAGTTCCATGATCAGCAAGCATAGACACATACATATATGCATGTGTCTATGTAATTTAAAAGTTAGGTTCCATGTATAAGAGTAAATGTAATATTTGCCTTCATGAGTCTGACTTATATACTTGCTTAATATGATTTCCAGTTGTATCCATTATTCTGCAAAGGTCGTGCCTTTATTTTTCTTTTTGTTTGCATCATGTTCCTTTGTGTACGCATGCTACATTTTCTTTATCCATCCATTTACTGATAAATGGACACCTAGGCTAGTTCTATTCACTGACTTTTGGGAATATGGAGGTGTGAGTACCTCTGTGGTACGCTGACTCAGTGTCCTTTGGCTGTATACCTATGGTTGGTATAGCTGGGTCATTTTGTTCTAGTTTCAGTTTTGTGGTGACCCTGCATATTGATATTCATAGTGGTTGCACAAGCTTTTATTCCTACTAGTCATGTGTGAATGTTCCTGGCTAAGTGTAGTTGTCCCGACCCGCAGGACAGCAACCTAGAGCAAGAAGTCCAGGGAGGGGAATGGAGACAAGAGAGGCGAGAGAATGAACACAAGACAGGATTCTGATCAAGTGGCAAATTGTATTTTTCCAGGGTAGCTCATATAGTCAGTATTATTGGGTAAAAGGGGGGGGCAAGAGTCCAAGAGCCAGGTGTTAGTTTAAGCAGGATGTTAGAAAACTATAGAAAGATGATGTTGGCAGGGTGAAAAGTTCATGGGTGGTGGAGAGAGGGAGGGGTACCTAGGTGAGTGGTGGGAAGAAGGAGGTTGCTTAGGTAAGTGGTGGGATGTGGGAGGTTTGCTTAGGTAAGTGGGCTTGTGGTTGGAACAAAGGATTGACGCTTGGGTCATGTTGTTCCTTCTGAGTGCTCATGCTTCTAGAAGCCATTTGTAATCAAAAGACAGTTCTATAACTATGTGGCTTGCCAAGTTTGGCCTAAAGGTTCATGCCAAGCTGTATGGCTCCCAACATATAAGGATATAAAATATATTTTATGGTATTTGCTGAACATATGCACTTCCTGTATTGATAATGGTCTATGCAGTTTATCAACCCACTTTTTGACTGAATGATTTAGTACCTCAGTACTGGGATGGGTGCAGGCAGAGGGCCTGCAGGAGAGACGATGACTGCACGGGTGTACTCCCCTGGAACTTCAGAGTTCTAGTGTTCTACAGCAGAGAATGAGATGGCTCCAGAATTTGATCTACCTGCTGGCTCAGAGCTATTAAACCCCAGGGTAATTCTCAGATGAGATCTGTCCCAGGTCACTTGTAGTGGGCTTCTTTTTCTCTGTGCACCCCCAGCTGGAGCCAGCCTCTTGCTACCTGAGATCTTTCCCAGGTCACTTGTGGTGGGCCTGTTTTTCTCTGTGCACTGCCCAGCTGGAGGCAGCCTCCTCCTACCTGCATCCTTTAGCTCATTGAGGGCCTGCTCTCTGCAACTGCCTTGCTGAGTCTTTCCCCACCCAGGTGCTGTGCCAGACCAAATCAAGACTCCCTAGCCAGAGGGTGTCTCCTGCTCTCAGGCCCACAAGGTAGCCAGATTTTAACCATACTTTCTGTTTCAAAATAGCTCTCGGCCACTGTCCTCTGAGTCATGTGGTGTGATAAAATTGGACATTTCTCCACTGTTCCTCACACCCTGCAACTATGTGGGCTTGTCCTGAGTGTGGGACTGACTGTTTCATCTGGGTTACAGCTTGGAGACAACTGCTGAGTCCTCTTCTTGCCTAAGGCGCTGTGCCACGGCAGTGGTGTTCAGCTTGCTCCTCTGAGTAATGGCACACACTGTTTTTGCTCTTTTCCAGGACTCTCTACTTCTTTTGGGAATGTCAGAAACAGCTTGTCTCTGTTCCTTTCTTCAAAGTCTGTTTGTTTTGTTTTTCTTATTATTCTTAATCTCTCGTTTATCAGCTCTCACAGAAGTAGCCACTAATCTGTCATCTTACTAGGCTGTCTCCTCCAGTTGATAAAGAGAATGAAACATATCCAGTATTTAACTGGTACAGAGAAATAGGTGCTCTCACATCGATGGAAATTCACTGTTTTAGAGAACAAGCACTTGTTATATATCTCATAAGCAAATGGACTTCTGTATGCATCCACATTAGCTGTTTTGTCACTGTGTCAAAATAATGAGCAGGTGCACTCATGGGGGAAAGAATTTATTTTAGCTCATGGTTCTAGTCCATTAGAGCCGGGAGTCCACAATAGAGTTCGTGATGACAGGAGCAGGTCCCTGTTGTTTCTCTCATTTCATCAGATGAGGAAGCAGAGACCAAAATTAGGGAAGGCTGTGACATTCAAAGGCCCGCCCCTACTGCTCTACGTCTGCCAGCAAGGTCTTGCTTCTTAAAGGTTCCACTAGCTACAGACAGCAGTTGAG